AAAACTGGCCATCTAGCGTAAATAGCACGAGATTAGCAACACATGAACACCCTCGTCCCTCCATGGGCCAGCCCAAAGCCCAATTTTCGTTAGATTAGTAGACCGATTCAAAATAGCATGGGCTAGCCAGTTTTCAGACTGGTAATTAAAAAATATCTATTATTTTAGCTGAAAAACAGATCTAGCATAATATACTGGATTATGAAGCTCTTGTGTATAAACTTTCAGCATATTATATTGAAACTCCAGCACATTATGTTGGAATTTCATATGTAAGAAAATCGAACTTCAACATATTTTGCTGGAATTTTCCGGTTTTTAAGAGTATTTTTGTTCAGGTTTTATCTTTATATGAAAAAGTGACTAAATTTTAATTACTTTTGAAACTGTAGGTATTTTTCAATTACCAGTCGTAAATTAAGTTATTTCTGATATTTTTTCCGATTCAACCTACTTGTCATACAATGGAGGCCCATTTCTTACGATGAAGCCTCACATATGCTTTTTGTATTACAAATTTTTATATGAAGATAATTGTTTTTAAAAAAAAGAGCATAATATTACTCTAAAACTAATTATGTGGTAAATAAAACCAATACTGGAAGAACAGAGACGAGAACCTGAAAATGTCCAAAGGAAAAATATCCGTCTCTGTAAAGTTTTTTATCTTTTTAATTATTGAGGGGCCAAATAACAAATGGGAAAACTCTAGTTTCAACTTTGAAGTAATGACTAAAATATATCCAGACACCTTTTTTTCTCTTTTGTCAACAAAATATATCTAAAGATCGGATCTGCAAATTTTGCTATGGACCACGTCAGCTGGACCCATTGAGAAATTGGTAAAATCATGTGCCTGCAAGACACGTCACCCTGTCGCTTAACGGCAAAAGGCCACCCACGTCAGATTCCTTTAGTCAATTGTCTCTCTCTTCGCCGTGAATCACGTATTTGTCACTCAAGGATATAATAATTTTAATTCAGCGAATTAACTTGCTCGAGTAATAAGTATGGGTGTTAACGGATGGGTTGGTCGGGCTGGACACGAAAAAAAATAGTTTGTCCGGTTATTGTTCCGGGCTGGCTAGTGGGCTGGGGTTTCGGGTTGGTAGTGGGCTGGGATTTTTGGGTTTTAGTGGGCTTGTTCGGGTTCGGGCTCTGGCCGGGTTACTTATTATTATTATTTTTAGTATATTTTGCTTTTCTTATTCAATGTTATTGATACTTAAGTGTTACAAACTTTTAAGGCTTAGAATTAACGCTTGCATAAATTTAAAATTTTAAAATTGAAATTTGAAAGTAAGGGACTACAAAAAATTATTTAATAAGACCAATAGGCAATATGTAAGGATCAAACTCCGAATGCTTTTGTTTTATATTTTCAATGAATAATAAATAATACTTCAAATTAATTTGCAAGTTCTATTTTGATTTTTTTTATTTTTGAACTTGAAAATTAAAAGTTTACAACAAGTACATCACATGTTTTGCATTATTTATGTAAGTTTATCCATGTCAACATGAGGTTCTTGGTTTTCGGTATTGCTTGAATTAGAACCATAAACCATTATGTCTCCAATTTCTTAGTCCTCCGCTTCATCTACCTCTTCACGCCCTTGATTTTGCCGTTCTGATCTTATCCAATCTCTGAAGCACACTAGAATTTCCAAAGCGTTGCTACCCAATAAATGATGGGTATCTCCTAGTTGCTGCCTTCCTTGGCTAAATACACTCTCTGATGCGACTATTGAAATCGGCACGTTTAGCACGTCTCGAGCATGGCCGAAAGAACAGGAAATTGATTTGACTTGCTCCTCCACCAACCCAGTGGTAGAAATTCCTTTGTGGGGGTCTCTAGTGACTTTTGCAAGTAGAATTGGTGTTCATCAATATTCCTGCTACTGGTTTGTTGATGCTCTCCTAGTGTAGACCAAATCAAATAATCTTAAACACCATCATTATCCTCCAAAGCACCGGTCCCAGATTTTGAAACTGAACTTGAAGAAATATTTGCATCTACAGCAGCAGAAGCATCAATAATGTTAGCATAATAATTATAATAAAATTTGTAAATGTTTGTATAGATCAGAAATACAAGTTTCAATATCAGGGGTTTCAGTTGGTCCAATATCCATATAAACATATAAAACAGTGACTAATTGACGACAAGTGGCCATTTTGATAGAAGGGTTTAAAATAGCCCCAAGGTCAATATGAGGAATTGGGTAAAAATATTTTTAAATTTATCTAGCATAGATTCAACAACATAAGTATATCCTTCTTTCTTCTTCAAATCATGGAGCAAAAGAGAAATTTCAGCAATATGAACTAAACTATTTGCAATAGTAGGATAATAAGCTCCAGAAAACTCAAGTGTAGCCACATAAATTTTTGTAATTTTTTTACAACATCTTCAATGACATCCCAAGTTCTAGATGTTAACAAACGGTTAGGATCGGTACAATGAGAATTAGCAACTTCTGTTATAGATTTATAACAACATCTTAAGAATAAATAAGTATAATTCCACCTAATAACTATTTCTTCAGGCATGAGTCTCGCTTTTAGTTCATATTGTACACATTTTTCCTTAAATGCATTTAATCTAGCACTTCTATTATTTCCTTGAATTACACCAACATCTTTTCTAACTAAAGTGATCTCATCACTAAATAATTCAAGGCCATTATAAATATGGCATGCACGCCTAAGACGAAATATTTCAGGAAGTGGTGGGTGTAGATGCAATTTAAATATTGTAATAGCAGCATTGTTATTAGAAGCATTATCAAATGACATATACAAAATATTTTCTACAAGATTGTAAAATATAGCAACTTCATGCATAGTATTACTTATAAATGCACCAATATGACTTTGATCTTCATCATATTTAAAAGCAATACCACGTTTTTGTATACAACAATTATCATCTATCCAATGGTATGTAACAGTAAAATAATCATTTCCATTTACAGCACGACCAATATCAGAAGTAAGAGAAACTCTACAAGAAAGACTAGCGAACAAATAACGGATATATGTCTGATATTGTCCAATAAAACTAAAGATATCAGCTCTACAAGTACTTTTTGGAATACGTTTAAACAAAGGGTTATAAATTCTTTGAATATAAGTAACAAGATATGGTGAAGCAGCAAAACTAAAAGGTAAACAACCTAAAACAATCATTTTAGCTAATTCTTCCCGTTCTTTCACTATATCGTATTTACCCATTAAACCACTAGTACCCCGGTTAAGTTTTTGTTGCCCACCTTCCTCATCAACACCCCATGCAATAGGGTGGTTATCTACCATGTGCCTACGAAGTTGACCCGTTCCCCATGCCGTACCTCCGGTCTCATGTTTATAAACATCCTTACAAATTTGACATCTTACATAATTTTTATCTTCTTCTAGTCTTTCAAAAAAAATTCCAACACTTACTTCTTAATCTTCGATTCCTCGGCCTACCTGTATTACCACGAGCTCCACCCCTAATATTTTGAGTTTGACTAGTATTACCGGGAGTAGCTGGAAGTGTTTCAAGATTATCAGGTGATTGAATATCATCAAAATTAACATCTAAATTATCATCTATACCATAATTTTCTTTAAGTCGCTCATAATCTACATTTAAATTTTCAGGTGAACTTTCAGAAGTATGTGTAAAGCTACTAGAAGAACTAGCACCACCTCTTGATTTTTTAGAAGTTTTACTCTTACTACTACCACCCCTACTGTGTACACGTTTTTTTGGTTGTTCTAAATATATCCATTATGTAAATTAAATTAATAATTCTAAATAATAAATTAAAATATACACCAAAGAAGAGAAAGAGATGGAACAAGTGTATCGGAAATTCGAATGTCGCACTAAATTTGATATCGAACTTCAGTTGATAGACTGATACTTGATATTTGATGATATTGAATATTGATACCACACTTCACTTGAATACTTGATATTTGATAATTATAATTTTGTATTGACTAAAGTAAATATTTGATGAAACTTGAAATAATAAGTAATTGAGAATTTAAGAGCAATAATCAATATTATCAAGAGAGAATTAGAGTAGTAAGAGAGCAAATTGTGAGAAAAATGAAGAAGGGGGGGATATTTATAGTTTTTAAAAGGTTAAAATTGTAATTTACCAATTATTAGGGGTGAGGGGCTATTTTCTTAAGGGGGTAGGCCGAAATGGCCATTTTTGCAAAAATGGTCGTTGCCCAACGGTAATTTTTGAATTTGACTGTTGGCAACGGTCTAGAAACTAAAAAAAGTACAACGGTAACCGGGCTGAACCAGGCTGTAGCCCGGTAAAAACCCGGTAATAGGTAATCGAGTTAACCGGGTTCTGGGGTACCGGTTACCAAATTTTGTTCATTCCAGCCCGGCTCCCGCCCAACCCGTTCTTACCCCCTTGCGTGCCGGGCTGACCCGGGCTGAACCGGATCGGACCGAAATGTGAACGGACTGGCCCGACCCGATTAACAGGTATAGTAATGTGGAGAAAACTATTTTGTTGCGAATTATGTAATGAGTAAAAGTTTTAACCTTAATTTGTAACTCATATGCAACAAGGTGGGTGTGGCCCCTATTGAGGACAAGATACAGGAAGCGCGGCTTAGGTGATTTGGTCATGTGAGGAGGAGGACATATATGATCAAACTAATGGGGACAAATTATATCAATTACAAAAGGAAATTAATGACTTAACTCAAGGATCACTTGACATTGCTGGATACTACAAAAAGATGAAAATGATGTGGGAAGAACTCAATACTTTGAATGCTAATGCACGTTGTACCTGCAACTGTATGTATGGAGCTAAGGCAAGTATGCACAAGGCAGAGCAACATAGGAGGTTAATTCAATTTCTAATGGGACTTAATGAGGTATACACAATAGTGAGAGGCAATATCCTTATGGTAAACTCATTGCTTCCTTAGCACAAGCTTCTTCCATCCCGATTCAAGAAGAAAAGCAAAGGGAGATGAGGCCACAGAGTCAACTGCTTATGGATTCCACAACCTTAAATGCAAGTGGAACTGGTAACAACAATTTATGGAACACAAATGGAAATGGATATAATAACTTCAAAAGGAACTATAATCAGCAGACAAATAACAACACCGGGATTAGTGCGTTTAGGGGGAGCTACCCTCAGAATAGACCTTGTTTGTATTGTGAATTTTGCAAGAGTCCAGGACATTCCAAGGACAAATGATCAAGCTGCATGGCTATCCACAGAACTCACCACAGAGTTCACAGCAGCCCAGATTTTACAAAGGCAGACGATATATGGGGTCCATAACATATCACAACTCATGATAATATAAGTACTTCATTACAGTTGTAGATGATTATAGCATATCAACATGGACACATCTGCTAAGCTGGAAAAGTAATGCTTTACATGTCCTAAAAGGATTCATTGCAATGATAGAAACCCGGTTTAATACTTCAGTAAAGACCATAAGAACTGATAATGGTCTGGAGTTCACAGGGTCTGTGTGATGACCCAAAGGATCATCTTTTGTTTTAGAACCCGAATCCGTGTTCCGAGGCCTTAAAAACCTCATTTCCTTTCTCCTCGATTTGCGTGCGTATTTCGGGCACGTTTCCGGAAAGCCTTTATGTGAAATCTAAGAAAAATGTTGAATTTTGCCTTTTAAATTGATTAAAGTTGACTTCGGTCAACATATTTGGTAAACGGACACAGACCCGTGATTTGACGGTCCCGTAGGTCCGTAGTAAAATATGGGACTTGGGCGTATGCCCGGAATTGAATTCCGAGCTCCCTAGCCCAAGGAATGAATTTTTGAAGAAAATTGTTTGCTGGAAAATATAAGAATTTTTAGAAATGGAATAGTGTGTTATCTCGTTGGTATCGGGCCCGTATTTTGGTTCCGGATCCCGGTACAAGTTTAATATAATATTTAAGTCATATCTGTGAAATTTGGTGTAAAACGGAAGAGATTTGATGTAATTCGGACCCTTGGTTGAGAAAATAGAAAATTTGAACTATCTTAAGAAAATCATGAGTTTTGGTTTTAAATTCGTTGTTTGAGATGTTATTTTGGCGATTTGATCGCACGAGCAAGTCCGTATGATACATTTAGACTTGTGTGCATGTTTGGTCTGGAGCCCCGAGGGCTCGGGTGTGTTTTGGATAGGCCACAGGGTGTTTTGGACTTAGGAAAAATTGTTGCAGGTTCATTTCTGGTGTTGGCCTTTGATCTCGCAATTGCGAGACCAGAGTTCACAATTGCGAATAACTCTTCGCATTTGCGAAGTAAAGCTGGGAGGGGTACTGGTCGTAATTGCGATCATTTAGTTGCATTTGCGGAGGATGAGGTTCGCAATTGCGAACTTTCCTTCGCATTTGCTAAGGCAGCAGAAATATGAGGGGGTTCGAATTTGCGATACTTTCCTCGCATTTGAGAGCTTCGCAAATGCGACATCTACCTGAGTAAAAGGGGTCTTGGACGGGATTTTTCATTCATTCTTCAATTTTTCAAAACCTAAACTCCAAAGGGCGATTTTCATAGAGCAAGTTCTTTCCCAAATCATAGGTAAATGAATCTTGACTCATTTTCTTCAATCTATTTCATCTTTTTATATGATTTCATCTCAAAATCTAGGATTTTTCATGGGAAATTGGGTGTTCTTGGTAGAATTTAGGAATTTCAGAACTTGAGGATTTGGACCTCAAATTGAGGTCGAATTTCAAAACCAATTGCATATTTGTACTCGTGGGTGAATGGGTAGTCGGGTTTTGGTTCGAACTTCAAGTTTTGACCAAGCGGGCCCGGGGTCGATTTTTGACTTTTTGTGGAAAGCATTGGGAAATCTATACTCATGCATTAGAATTGGTTTATTTAGCGTTAATTGATGTTAATTAGTTAATTATGCATAGATTCGGGCGTTTAGGAAGTCGAAATCAAAGGAAAAGCGGTAATTGAAGCTTGATTTTTGGCCGTGGAATCGAGGTAAGTGTTTGGTCTAACCTTAGCTTGAGGGAATAGGTATTGTTGTCTTATTTGCTACGTGTTAATGTTGAGTACGACGTATAGGTGTGGTGACGAGTATCAATACGTTGATGTTGAGCATGCAAGTGAGTCTTAAACTGTGACTGTTGTGATTCTTATTATGTACTATTCATGCCTAAACTGATAATTCTCCATGTTGAACAAGTCTTATGATATTTTTCTTGGCATTGGATAATTGTTGAGTATTGACTCGAGTTGAGACTTACATTGTGAAATTAACTGTTGAAACGAGATTGGTTATAGCCGATTCCCTTGCCGGGATGTTATTGTTTCTATTGTATGGGTGAGGAAGAGTGTAAAGCACGAAGGGTGATGTCGTGCACGATATTGTGAGAGAGTGTTAATGCACGAAGGGTGATGTCGTGCCATATTCAGTGAGTGTTAATGCACGAAGGGTGATGTCGTGCCATATTCAGTGAGTGTTAATGCACGAAGGGTGATGTCGTGCCTATTTCTGTGAGTGTTAATGCACGAAGGGTGATGCCGTGCCATGATTATGAGAGAGTTAATGCATGAAGGGTGATGTCGTGCTGTTTCTGTTGATTTTATGGTGAGGATGAGAGTAAAAGCACGAAGGGTGATGTCGTGCACGTGTTATTGTGTTATCTTTTCTGTTGGTTCAAGATTGATATTTACCTTGCTTCTTTACTTTATTACTGTCATAATCCGATATTCCCCTTAGCATGTTTCCCCTTTCCCGCTTTTATCTGTTAAGTTTCTGTTATTATTGTTTCTCGTATATGATTTAACTGCACATGTTTATATTGTTGTCGTGTCCTAGCCTCGTCACTACTTCGCCGAGATTAGGCTCGACACTTACCAGTACATGGGGTCGGTTGTACTGATACTGCACTCTGCACTTTTTGTGTAGATTTTGGTGCCGGACCTCGTGAGTAGTGTTGAGATTGCTGCCTTCAGTCCATGGGAGACCCAAGGTAGATCTGCCGGCGTCCGCAGACCCTGGAGTCCCCCTTCCCCCTATTTTGGATTATTTGTCTCTTTCCATTTTGAGAACATTTGTAATTATTTTAAACCAGTATTTGTAGAAATTCTTAGACGTTTGTGAATTATGACACCAGATCATTGGGGTAGACATGTATTGGAGTATTTTGAACTGTTATAACACTTCCGCACTTATTATCTGTGTAGCTTTAGTTATTATTTATTTCTGTTTGGGTTAATTGTTAATGTGTTAAACCGTAATTGTTGGCTTACCTGACATTCAAGAGTTAGGCACCATCACGATCCCGACGGTGAAAAATCCGGGTCGTGACAGTCTGAGCCTACTTCCTTCGTACAAGCTAAAGGGATTCTACATCAAAGAACTTATGCCTATACACTCCAACAAAATGGGGTAGTGGAGAGAAAGCATAAATACCTACTAGAAACAGCCAGAGCCCTGCTTTACCACTCCAAACTTCCTCTCAAATACTGGGGGGAGTGTGTCCTTACTTCTACATACCTAATAAATAGACTGCCCTCCTCTTCACTTAAAAACAAATGCCCATTTGAGTTGTTATACAACAAAAGACCTACCTACTCACACCTTAGAAGTTTTGATTGCCTTTGTTTTTCCACAGTTCTTAAAACTTACAAAGATAAATTTGAACCTAGATCCACACCTCATCTGTTTGTGGGATATCCTTTTGGGGCAAAAGGTTACAAAGTGTTGAATCTGGCTACTACCAAGATCCATGTATCTATTGATGTTATTTTCCATGAGCATGTTTTTCCCTTTTCCTTATCTTCTGGTTCTAAAACTTCTATTGCTAATAATATCATTCCTCGGAATATTGGTGTTCATTCTTCTGATGAAACAAACATCTCTGCTTCCACTTTAAGAAGATCAGCAATCATTCCTCATAATGATATTGACACTCTCTTCACTGATCATAACTCTATGAGCACACAGTCACCTAACACCTCATGTAGCTCAACTAATCAAGGCATTGACTTATCTCCTTCTCATATCTCTGATGATGCCAGAAATCCTTCCAATAATGACAACTAACAACCTTCAGTGAATCCAACTATACAAAGACCCTCTAGGACACACAAAACACCTGCCTAACTAAAAAACTATGTAGTTGCACTTCCCAAAACACAACCTAATCATATTGTCCCTTCTTCTAACACTACATCAGCTGATAGCACACCATCTTTTTCATTCATTACATCTGGCTCAAATGCTCAATATATATCTCTTAATGCCTTAACTCATGATAGTCAGCAATTGGTTACCAATATCTCATTTGATTGTGAACCTGGTTCATATGAGGAAGCATCTCAAGACCCTGCATGGCAAGCAGCCATGACACAGGAATTTGAAGTACTCTATGCAAACCATACTTGGGACTTAGTACTACTTCCAGCAGGGAAGAGAGCAATAGGTTGCAAGTGGGTTTATAAAGTGAAACACAAAGCAGATGGCACAGTGGAAAGGCTAAAGGCCAGACTGGTAGTGAAGGGCTATGTCACGCCCCGAACCTGGGGGGTGAGACCGGCACCCGGTGCCTCACCTATCCTTGCATACCAACTTGCGACCAAGGGATTCTGAACATACAATGTCATACTTAGACCATGGGGCCACATTGCAAGACAATTTGTGAAGCAAAATATAAAACGGAACGGAAACTAGCACTAACTAAACATCAATATGAAGTTGGGCCGACAAGGCCATCATAACTACTACAGCTGACAAACCAACAAAATATACATACAAGGCCTACAAGGCCTACAAGCCCAACATACTGCACTAACTGACAGGATATGTCTACAAGCCTCTACTAATGGATGTATTATGATCAGAACAGGGCGCCGGCAACCCATAACCTATATACATATATACACAAGATGTACACAAAACTCTAGACCTGAAAACTCCGAAGGACGTGGAGCTCACCGATAAAGCTGAACTCAGGCAACACTTATTGAGGAGGTCTACCCATCTGTCTGTCTGAACCTGCATGCATGAAATGCAGCGTCCCTAGAAAAAGGGACGTCAGTACGAAATAATGTACCGAGTATGTAAGAAAATAAAATAATTGAAAGCTGAAACTGAACTGATAATATAATAACTGAAAGTAACTGGGAGTCCAAGATGATATCGAGATATACTTACCTGCTGATACTGGCTCAACTCTCTCTATATAGTAAGTAAAATAAATGTCCGGCCCTATAAGGCTCGGAACGTGTAACTGTTCTTCCGTAGTAGGCTCGCTCGTAAGCGCTCGGCCATACTAGGCTTTGTATCTCGGTCATTTTCGGCTCACTCATAGGCGCTTGGCCACAGTGGGATCGGTCCATAACTTACCATCCGATCAGAGGTTGCCCAATAGGGGCCTGCCCACCGATTATAGCTCGATGGTGGTGAAAATGTTATAATACTGTATATATATCGACCCTCCGCTCTCTTGACTGGAAGAAGACAATACTCTATTAAATATAAAGTCCCGATAAGAGGGAATACTGTAACTTATGAGACAAGGATAATGTATACAAATTCGGGAGTATGAACTTCTCTTTATGCCTCGTTATCAAACACATGTAATTACGAGATCATGCCAAAATGAAGGAAGGGTTTAGCCTTAACATACTGGAGCCGATTCTTTTGATAATCCCTCTAATACACGTCAAGTGCGACAATACGTAATCGGCGGATCAAAGTAGAGAAAATCCGTGTGATATTCTTGAGAAAGATTGTACCGTGCTCCCTTAGAATTTGCAAAACCATGAAGCAAATTACGTTTCCATAAGCTTTGTGAAGGATTCATTATGATGTCTTGTTTGAGAAATACTTAGCAAGTCCATCTATCTTACTTCATAATGTAAGAAAGGCTTTTAACATTATAGGTTGTGGTCCCCACATCCTTTGTGATGACTAAGCCACCAAGATCTTTAGATGTGCCACCTTACTTTGTGAATTAAAGAGTCATTTGGTTGATTATCTCATGCTGCCACGTTTGGGGTTCAAACTTAATCCAAAATATCTTAATTAATTATCCACTATTCTATTGATTAACTTATAAGAATTATCTTAAATTACTTAAAATACTACTCACTTTAACACACTTATATATCTTATTGTCATGGTCATGGGGGTACCTTGTATGGCACTAGTCCATAAATATCGAGTATTATAGCGCGGACCGTATTTTATCCCAAATTGTCAAACTTCGACGAAACTCGTTTTCTTCGATTCACTTACCCTCTCACCTTCACGAATTTACTAAACACTTGTTTGAAATAGCACAATACTTATAATCCCAAAATAATCTCATTCCCGAACTTACGACGAAACTTTAACGTACGAAAACATGGGGTGTAACATCATTCCCCCCTTTGGAATATTCTTCCTCGAATGTTGACTGGTGCACTTATTATTATCATAACCTATAGTCCTTGCGAATACTTTAGTACTCTACTTTCCATCTAGGCAGTTGTTCTGTGAATAAATCCAAAGTCCAGCGTATTCCCACCTGTAGGTCTCTTTCTCACACCACGGCCTGTGGTCGAAATTCTTCCAATCTCGTAACTCTTTCTACCTTCTGTCATGCAGTATGTACGAATTTTTCCTTATATGTGCGCCTATGCGACCCTTCCCTCCAACTGTTAGCCAATCTCTAGGTCTTATCACTAGGGCTTATGTGCGCCTATACATTACCACTAGGGCTTACGTCTCATCGGGGGATATCTGAAGTAATTAGACTGATCCACCTTGGGGCGATACTATACTTCCATAACCGTATTTTATAGCATCCCAATGTGATTCACCTTACGTGGGTATTTTAATCCCGTACAATTTATGAAATCCTTTTTTTCCTTCCAATCATTACTCAATCGAAGGTCCAACGTCATCCTTTATCTATCACAATTACACGCTTATTTTACTACCAGAGCAGCATTCCATAATTTCTAAATGTTGTTAGTCTTAGACTCATTTGAGCTCATTCAGGCTATACTGAGCTTTCTATAAGTTAGAGAAACCATGAGCTCTTTTTTTTACGGGCTTAATCCTGAGGACTTATCCATTCTTGTCACCTTCTCACTCACCTTTCCTCATCCTTACTCATGTCTTCCTAAAACCTTGTCGCTCTACCATACTTTAGCTTGCGACCTACACATGTCCATTTATACTACTCGCAACCTTTCTTCAACCTTCTTGCACTATAGATTTCCTTATGTCATTCCGGGACATCAAGTGAGACATCACATCGTCTCTAACTCTTCTTTACTCTCTTAATCAGGCTTCTTGATACCTAGAAACCGTAGGCTGGAAGACATGCCACTGATGATGCCTACTGAATCCTAGCGCTTCTAGCCTTCTATCCGAAATATGGACTATTCACAACCTTCTACATTTGATTATCTTGTACATTGTTTACCTTTACCTTACTTACCTTAAAATCTCGCATCACAACTTCTTTCTCTTTCATGACCTCCCTTCCACATAATTCACATCCACAACTTGAAACTCTATTATAATATTTGCACCTCTGGTGCATACACAACCCGGTGGGAGCTTCATACCGACTTCTTATGACGATGGTACTTCTTCTAACTGGCTTTATCGTAGAGCCATTATAGAATATGGCTACTGTACTATCTCTCTTGTACCTCTCATATCTAAGAGTAATCCTGCAATGTTCTCAATCACGAGGTCTATAATTTTCTGGGTCCAGTAATCAGATTCCTGATTTACTTCCTTGATGTAACTCTTTAGTTTCCTCCTCCTTCTGATCCGCCTTTAGGTATGCTTAAGCTATCCCTCGATCTGCAGCTCATGGTATTAGTTATTACTTTAGCCTTTCATGGGCGCTATGGAATATCCATGATACAATCTTCTATCAATTCAATCCTTTGTCTATGACCTGGACTCAATTCTTTCTTTTAACTTATACCAGAGTCTTCTACGGCTGTATGATTGTCAACATATATGCTGCATGGATAATACTCCGAAATCCTAAGTGCGTTAATAACGTAACTAACTTTGGATCATTGATCGAATAATTTCTTTCGTTCCTTCTCAGCTTTCTTTAAACGTAAGCTATTACTTTTCCTGGCCTTTCTGCCCCCTTGTTGTATGCATACTTAGCTTATCTCAGTTCCCACGCATGCCAGAATTTACGTGCAACTCTTATGATCTCGAATCATACAATGTTGTTGTAAGACTATTGTTACAAGACCATTTTATATGCCCACTTTTGTTATTGTGCTTAGGTTGAAGCCTTCTTCCTTATTTCCTCAACTAGTCTTTCATTGTAATACTTAGGGAGGACCCTCTGACTGTTGTAAAGCTACGAGCTTATTACATCGTATTCCCGGTAGAATTTTTGATGTCCGTACTCACCTATAATTCTCCTTAATTACTTACCTCCACGCTCTTGTGCTTGTGGGTTGCTTCTGAACTGATATTTTGACTATCTTTCCAGTGGCACTCTCTTTTATTTCCGTAATACTCATACGCTACCTTTAACTACCCCAATTCCTATCTGAATATTTCTCAAGGATCACAATGTCATATCTGCGAGACTGAATTCCCATGTTGAGGTTCACTATGCTTATCTTGCACGATCTGTTTATTTGTCTATATCCTCTTGTCTAGCCATAATTAGGCTCTTTGTGAATCAACTACTAACTACTCGTTGGCCCATTCTCATATCAATATTCCGCGTAATCTTTCTTGGGTTATTTATTTTGTCTTAACTTACGTCTCACATTGTTTCCTTATTTATCAATAAAATCTCGAGCAGGAACCTTTACTTCCTTTCCTTGACGTCGTGTTTGTACAATATCCTGGAATCAAAGCATATCTATAGGTTTTGAATAAGTGCAATCTCATCCCCTTTTAATTTTTATCGCATTCTTTCTTTACCATTCCATAGTTACTAGAACCACTTAATTCTGACTTAATGCCACATCACTCCATATTCCCCCCTTTAGGGGAGTACTAGGAGTTAGAGCTACCTATAGATATTTTATCTTTTCATCTTTAGCGTTTTTTCACATCATCGATGACCCTTACTCGCCTTACGGTAATCCTTCTGTACCAAGGATAACAAAATTCATTACTCGCGAGGGTGACACCTAGTATAACTGGCACATATAGTCCCTTAAGCTTAACTTTGCTCACATTGCTTGCTTTAGGGACGCGTCCTCCTGAATGACCTTTAAGGGTTATTCATCTGTTTTCCATTCTATTATCGTTAGAACTCAGTCTCTGAATTTCTCATGATGCCGACTATTATCAAATCACTCAGTCCCTAATTCATGTTTAGTTTATCTTGTTCACCAGTCCATACTGATTTCTATTACTCTAGGATCTAACTTTTCCTTCTGGTAGTCGCGTTAGAGTCACGAACTTATTTCTCGAAATGAGCATATGACTTTATGTCCTATACTCTTTTGTTGTCTCAAGGCATGTCACCTCTCGTCTTTTCCTTCACTTGAATATAGACTCTGTAATACTGTTATCTTTTTGGATCTACTGTTGCTATCCATGTATCACATCTTACTCATAATGCTTCATTAACTCTCTCTTCTTATTTCCCTGCTAACATTTATGCCTATCACGTTATTCTGAAAACTCCAACAAGACATTCCTTTGCTTTTAGCTCCCCTTGCTTCATCCCCTGGCTCTTGAGGTTGCCTAACATTCTCGCTCCACTAGGGACGGAGCTATACTAAGGTAATATTTATCCCTTCCAGGATTTTTGTGCTTGTCTTTGTAATTTTGTTTGAATATTCTAGTATTCATATCTAGTCGTACTATTCTAGAGTGCACCATCTGGGTGTCTCACAAGGAGATCTATTAGCACATTTGTAATATCCTTCGGAAATGTTAACTAACGCAAACAATTCGTCCACCATTTTATGTTACTCTAACCCCAGCCGGATCCTGATATCCGTCCTCCTCTTAAACTACTTCTGTTAGGTTCCATAGGGCATAACTGAGATGGGTGTGGCCACTTGTACATACCTTTGTTATTGTTGAAGGTAACACAAAAGGCTTATATTCTTCTGCCTGAATTGTAAATACTGATAATCTTCATTAACTGGGCGCCTCGTGCCCTTCTTCATCTTGCTTCTTTTACTTGTTGAAGCTAGTATTTCTGATTCTCTCATGCCTTTTCACCATATGTGTTGATAGATATTCTTGCCTTAAGGCTCCTTATCAAGAAGCTTACACGTATTAGTACACACATGATCTACTGAAAACCTTATATTTTCTCATCATAAGCATGATGAAAAATCGAGTTCCTCTGACTCAACTATTCCATAGCCACATTCAATCTCTTACCAACTGTCTTTATGGATGTAGGTATCACTGTATTACGAGTAATATAGAATTCAGGACTTCGAGTTCTTACAAATGAGCTCTACCACATGATCTAGAGTAAGAAGAAAGAGTGAAAGTCCTAAATGTCCTGTAGCCTCCTGCTTATAAGTGTGGTGCACAATACACCCATAAACAAGGCTCTACTAACTAGACACGGCTTGTAGACTCCCTAGGACAGAATTGCTCTAATACCACTTTTGTCACACCCCGAACCTGAGGGGCGAGACAAGCACCCGGTGCCTCACCTATCCTTGCGTACCAACTTGCGACTAAGGGAATCTAAACATACAATGTCATACTTTGGCCATGGGGCCACATTGCAAGATAATTTGCGAAGCAAAATATAAAACTGGACGGAAACTAGCACTGACTATACATCAATATGAAGCTGGTTCGACAAGACCGTCATAATTACTATAGCTGACAAACCAACAAAATATACATACAAGGCCTACAAGCCTAACATACTGCACTAACTGACAGGATATGTCTACAAGCCTCTACTGATGGATGTATTGTGATCGGACAGGGCCCCGACTATCCATAACCTATATACATATATACACAAGATGTACACAAAACTCTAGACCCGGCAACTCCGAAGGACGTGGAGCTTACTGATAAAGCTGAACTCGGGCAACACCTACTAAGGAGGTCTACCCGTCTGTCTGTTTGAACCTGCATGCATGAAATACAGTGTCCCCAGAAAAAGGGACGTCAGTACAAAATAATGTACCGAGTATGTAAGGCAAAAAAATAACTAAAAGCTGAAACTGAACTGATAATATAATAACTGAAAGTAAATGGGAGTCCAAGATGATATGGAGATATACTTACCTGCTCATACTGGCTCAACTCTCTCAATATAGTAAGTAAAATAAATGTCTGGCCCAATAAGGCTCGGAACGTGTAACTGTTCAGCCGTAGTAGGCTCGCTCATAGGCGCTCGACCATACTAAGCTCTGTATCTCGGTCATTCTGGGCTCGCTCATAGGCGCTCGGTCACAGTAGGCTCGATATATAACTTACCATCTGATCAGAGGTTGCCCAATAGGGGCCTGCCCACCGATTACAGCTCGATGGTGGTGAAAATACTGTAATACTGTATATATGTAGACCCTTCGCTCTCTTGACTAAAAGAAGACAATACTCTATTGAATATAAAGTCCCGAAAAGGGAGAATACTGTAAATTATGAGACTAGGATAATGTATATAAATTAGGGAGTATGAACTGCTCTTTATGCCTCATTATCAAACACATGTAATTACGAGATCATGCCAAAATGAAGGAAGGTCTTAGCCTTAACATACTTGAGCCGATTCTCTTGACAATCCTTCTAATACACGTCAATTGCGACAACACGTAATCGGCGGATCGAAGTAGGGAAAAATCCGCGTGATATTTTTTAGAAAGAATGTACCGTGCTCCCTTAGAATTTGCAAACCCCGTTGCTATTACGCAATATAACTTCGAATGAATTTCTTGAAGCAAATTACGTTGCCATAAGCTTTGTAAAGGATTCATTATGATCTCTTGTTTGAGAAATACTTAGCAGGCCAATCTATCTTACTTCATAATGTAAGAATGGCTTTTAAGATTATGGGTTGTGGGCCCACATCCTTTGTGATGACTAAGCCGCCAAGATCTTTAGATGTGCCACCTTACTTTCTGAATTAAAGAGTTATTTGGTTGATTATCTCATGCCACGTTTGGGGTTCAAGCTTATCCAAAATATCTTAATTAATCATCCACTAATCTCCCACTAACCAATAATTACTCAATTACCCACATAATTAAAAATTATCTCAAATTACTTAAAATACTACTCACTTTTAACACACTTTATATATCTTATTATCATGGTCATGGGGTACCTTGTATGGCACTAATCCATAAATATCGGGTATTATAGCTCGGACCGTATTTTATCCCAAATTGTCAAACTTCGACGAAACTCGTTTTCTTCGATTCACTTACCCTCTCACCTTCACGAATTTACTTATCACTTGTTTGAAATAGCATAATACTTATAATCCCAAAATAATCTCATTCCCGAACTTAGGTCGATTAACTTACGACAAAACTTTAACGTACAAAAATATGGGGTGTAACAGGCTATACTCAACAAGCAGGAGTAGACTATACAAAAGCATTTTCTCCAGTCGTGAAAATGACAACTGTGAGGGCTCTAATTGGTACATCGGTGATGAAAGGTTGGGAAATGTATCAACTTGATGTCAATAATGCATTCCTCCATGGAGATTTAATGAGGAAGTGTATATGCAAGTTCCACAAGGCCTTATGGTGCACAAGTCTGACCTTATGTGCAAACTGAATAAATCCTTGTATGGTTTGAAACAGTTAAGTAGGCAATGGTATGCCAAGCTGACTGAAGCACTTTGTTCAAGGGGCTACACACATTCAATGTTAGACTATTCACTTTTCTCTAAAAAGAAGGGCAATTATGTAATTTTTGTAGCAGTTTATGTAGATGATGTTATACTGACTGGGAAAGACACGGAGGAAATCCTTTCCCCAAAGAGGTTCTTAGACCAGACATTCAAAATAAAATATCTCGGCAAACTTCACTATTTTCTGGGAATGGAAGTGCTATACACTGCTGGTGGTGTCCTGCTTACACAAAGGAAGTCTGCTCAAGATTTATTGAAAGAACACCATTGTCTGAGCTGCTCTTCAATGTCCTCGCCTCTTAACTCTTCAACCAAACATAGAGCAGATGATGGGGTCTTACTAGAAGACGCATCTCATTATAGAAAATTGATAGGGAAACTGAATTTTCTCACTAACACCAGACTCGATATTACCTACAGTGTGAAACATCTAAGTCTGTATATGTAGAGCCCAAGAGACACACATTTGAGAGCTGCCTTTCATGTTCTAAGATATCTAAAAGGGGATCCAAGTTTAGGGATCTTTTTCTCCAGCACAAGAGACTACACAGTTAAAGCTTTTTGCGACTCAGATTGGGCAGCTTGCTATGAGTCTAGAAGGTCAGTAAGTGGATTTGTTATACTACTTGGGAGCACCCCTATCAGCTGGAAATCCAAGAAGCAGTCGACTGTATCCTTGTCCTCATCGGATGTTGAGTATAGATCAGCACGACAGGTGGTGGGAGAACTGGTCTGGTTGTCTAAATTGCTTCAAGAGTTGACTGTTCCACTATAATTACCAATACTAGTCTTTGTGATAGCCAAGCTTCCCTGCAAATAGCAAGAAATCCAGTGTTCCATGAGAAACACATAAAGGTTGATTGTCATTTTGTTCGGGATGAGCTCAACGAATGGCTTGTTGATTTACATTACATATCCACTCATGAGGAGTTGGCTGACATTTTTACTAAATCACTCACAGGACTCAAGCATTCATCTCTTCTTGGCAAGTTGGCTATGAGTCCCTCCCCTCCAACTTGAGGAGGAGGGGGGGGGGGGGTTGTTGAGATACGTAACTATATTAGGTGGTTAGCTCACTTCACTGCATGCTTCCGATAGTTAGATAGTTAGTTATATTTTTGGTAGTTAGTTACATTTTTACTTTCCACTTATGAGTTGATTGCCTAGTCCAGTTGTGTCCAGCTGTCGGTGTATATATATATAGGAGTAGGGCACTTGTAAGAGTTGAGGATTTCATTTCATTCATTGTTCCATCTTCTGGAAGCTTCTCAGATGAATCTCTTTCGTACCTTCTCTGTTTTCCTCCATTAGAGCTTAGAGCTAAGCTCAAGCTTCACTTTGATATTTGCTTGTTTTCGTTACAGGTAGGCCAAAGAAGAGGTGTGGAGAGGTGATTAGGCAAGACATGGCGCAACTTCAGCTGACCTAGGACATGACCCTTGATAGGAATGTATGGAGGTCGAGGATTAGGGTAGTAGAGTAGGTAGTCTAGAGTGTTCATAACAGTAGCTTTCTGTTGGTAGTAGGTTTTTATGACTACCGTTGTTTTCTTTCATTGTTGATCATCTTACTATCTTGTTATTTTTATTCTGCTTTTATATGGCTCTTTGGTGTTGTACCTTCTTGTCTATATTTTCATGAACGAGGTGCTTATGCTTTCCTGAGCCGAGGGTCTATTGGAAACAACCTCTCTATCCTCCAAGGTAGGGGTAAGGTCTGCGTGCACACTATCCTCCCCAGACCCCACGGTGTGGGATAATACTGGGTATGTTGTTGTTGTTGTTGTTGTTGTTATGATTAAGAATTATTTGCATGTAAATATTAAGTATGAATAAAAAAGCTACTAGTAGGGATATTGACTGATTAATGTAATTAAAGCTTAAATATCTCAGAACCCATTTGTTTGAAGTTTTAGAAATTGAGGTTTAATTAATTTTGTAATAGTATTTGTTTGATTAATTTGATAAACCAAAATGAAACTTTTCTCGGAGATTTCTAAATTCAAATCTTCAAAAACTCAAAGCTATACTTATTTTGAGCAAAAATTCTTCAATTTGCTTGGCAATTTAACAACATATATTCTCGTAACTACGGCGAATCATTCAATAGATTAGCCGAGTGAACACCATCATTTATCAGAAACAATGGCTAATTAAAAATTTTAAATATTTTGAACCCCATATAGCTATGTTAAGTATGATAACATCAAAACAACAAAAAAAAGTATACTAGCATCATGTATCACTTATGAAATTATAAAATCCACAAACTCCAAATTAGGATTAAAAATATAAGATTTTTTGACAATCGTTAATGTCGATAAAGTAATTTAAAAATAGATATAAATCACCCTCATATTTTAATAATGGTTATCTTGCAGTTATTAACTTATTGGTGAAAAATCATCCATAAACTTATGATGAATTTTTTGTCCATCACTATGATTTCTTGCGTATACGATAACAGAAGCAGGTCCAATGAATTTCTTACATATCATTTTATATATATTTGGAAATCAATAAAACAACACAAATACTAATGCATAAGTGAAAAACATATAGTTAGAAACTAAGGGGTCGTTCGGTAGGAGGTATTAGAAAAAATAATGCAAGCATTAGATCTATGCATTACTAATACCTTATTTGGTAGATTTTTTCAACCTGTGTATCACTAATACATGTATTAATTATACATCATACTTGGTATTATCCTATGTATAAGTAATGCATAGAAAACCATTACATTAGCAATCTGTCACGATCCCAAAACCAACCCGGTCGTGATGGCGCCTATCATGAAACTAGGCCAGCTGACACATTCCCAAAGTAGTTCAACATTTCTTTAAAACTTAAATAACAACCTTTTTCAACTGAAATTTCCATAATAATATAAAAGTCATAAACCAAAATAAATACGGAAAATAAAAGCCCGACCTCGGGTGTCACCAAGTCATGAGCAATACTACAATTGTTCCGAAATGTAACATGACCAAAATAGTCTGAAAGTAGCCAAAGTATACTAAAAGAAGATAAGGAAGGAGAAAGGCAGGACTGCGATCGCCAGGCAGCTACCTCGCTATCTCCGGTGATAATCCGCGACTGGAATAGTCAACAGCCGCTACCGTGACCTGAGATACCTGGATCTGCACACAAGGTGCAGGGGATAACGTGAGTACACCAACTCAGTAAGTAACAAGTCCAAACTATGGACTGATAGGTAGTGACGAACTAAACCTCAGCAATTATAGCACATTTAAATTATACAATAAAGTAGGCATGCTGGCGATTTAATCATTCAACTCAACAGTAAAGCAAAATACCAATCTGAACAGAGTGAAGTATAAAGGTCAGCAAATTTCAACATGTCAATGCCAGAAATGTATGAAAATGCACTGTGTGCTCCCACTCTCAAGTGCTCGACCACTCGGTACCGCATATTGCCATCCGGACCAGGGAAATCCATGGTGGAATATATGCACAACACTGACTTGAAGTCAATCGGTACCGAGGAACAAGGGTAATCCAACCCTAAGAAGAAATCCATCTCCAGGTATCAATACTTCGGACAAATCCATGTCCAGGGAAATCCATCCTTCAATAATATCATCCGCGCTCACTCGGGGGGTGTAGACTTCGGAGGGGCTCCTTTCAGCCCAAGCGCTATAACAAGCCAATGAAGGCATAATCAATAATCTGTTGCGGCGTGCAGCCCGATCCCATAACTGTCACTCATAATCAGGCTCTTGGCCTCACTCAGTCATCACTCTCCAGTCTCACACACACGGGCTCACAATGCCATGAAACTAGCCCGAAACAAGAATATGATGTACCAGATAACAACAACCGAGACTGAGACATGATATGATATGCATGAACAAGACTGAGTACAGAATAACAATGAAACTAATGAGATGGCAGCAAGAAACGACCACTCGGGTCTCAACAGTATCGACGTGAAGCCCTAACATGGTAATTAGCATAATTTACAGCTCATTAACTTAATCACATAATCACATCACAGATATCAGCAAGAAAGAGTCACTAAGCGGTGCCATGGAATAATCCAGGCTGCAATTCTCACGATGCACGCCCACACGCCCGTCACTTGGCATTCGTGTCACCTCAATATTTAATCATATAACACATAGTTCGGGGTTTCGAACCCTCAGAACCAAGTTTGGAAGCGTTACTTACCTCAAACCAAACTAAAACTCTAACCCGCGATGCCCTTGCCTCTCAAATCGGCCTTCAAATGCTCTGAATCTAACCAAAATCAGTATATTATCATCAATATACGCTAAAGGAATGAAATTCACACGAAAATTATCAAATTAGACCAAAAATCCCGAATTTGGCTCAAACCCGACCTCCGAGCCCACGTCTCGGAATCCGACAAAAATCACAAAACTAGAAACTCCTTTCACTCACGAGTCTATACATACCAAAACCATCAAAATCCGACGTCAAATGGCCCCTCAAATCCTCAAATTAAACTGTCCAATTTCAAGCCCTAATCCCCTCAATTTCTTCCCAAATTTTCCACTAATTTCATGCTTAAACCACTGAAATTTACTATAATCACAAGTAATAAGTTCAAATAACTTACCTCAATGAGTATCCCCTTGATTCCCTCTTCAAAACCCTCCAAAAATCTCCAAAATCCGGATAGAAATGGTGAAGAACACCCAAAATTCGTGAAGGGCTTCCTTAAATACCTTCTGCCCAGGCATCTCACACATGCGTCCCATTACACGCATCTACGGGACCGCTTCTGCGGTCAAACCAACCGCATCTGCGGTTTTCACTTATCCGCCCTTAGCCGCATCTGCGGCCCAATACCCGCACATGCGGTCACGCAGGTGCGCTCCTCCTTCTGCACCTGCAGCTCCTGGCTTTCCTTGGCCTTAGCTGCTTGTGCGGTTGCTCTCCTGCCTCCGCAGGTGCGGTTATACAGCAGAAGGAAATCTTCAGCACTTCCTCAAATCCCATCCTTGATCCGTCAACCTCCCGAAATCAACCTAAGGCCCTCGGGACCTCAACCAAACGTACTAACAAGTCACATATCACCATTCAAACTTATTCAAAACTTCGGAACACCAAAAACAACATCAAAACACCGAATCGCCCTCGGATTCAAGCCTAAGAACCTCCAAACTTCCAAATTCCGCAACCAACATTGAAACCTACCAAATCGCCTCCGAATGACCTGAAATTTTGCACACATGTCCCAAATGACACTACGGACCTACTCCAATTTTCGGAATTCCATTCCGACCCCGATATCAAGATTTCCACTGCCGACTAGAAAATACCGAATTTCTAATTTCGCCAATTCAAGCCTAAATCTACCTCGGACCTCCAAACTACATTCCGGACGCGCTCCCAAATCCAAAATCACCTAACGAAGCTATTCGAACCCTCAAAATTCACATCCTAGATCTTCTACACATAAGTCAACATCCGGTTGACTTTTCCAACTTAAGCTTCTAAATAAGAGACTAAGTGTCTCATTCCACTCCAAGACCACTCCGAACCCGAACCAACCAACACGATACGGTGAAATACAGTTGAACAACACATAGAAAAGTAGAGATGGGGGAGACGGGGCTGTATCCCATAAAACGACCGGCCGGGTCGTTACACAATCTGGGTCGGCCCTTCTTTAAAGCAAGTAAAGCAATCGTTTTAGGCCCCATATTTTTGGGGGCCCATTTTTTGTTATACCTAATAAACTCTGTATAAGTTTAAAAAAGAGTTCTTTAAAGTGAAGAATTTTGATTTCTTTCTTTAACAAATATAGAGAAGAAGGATTTGCAACTGCTATGATTTCTACCAAGAAAATTGCACTTGAAATGAATATCGAACCAGAATTTCATAAGAAACGTGTAAGGAAGTAACAATTTGATGCGAATGTTGATAATAAATCTCAAAATCTTTCGTAGAGCCCTTTAGAGTTGATTACTTTTATACATAATAGACAAGGCTATTTTTTCACTTCAAAAAAGATTTGGACAATTGGAA